ATAATGTGCTGCATAGAAGTAGGTTTTTTTTAGTCTTTTATTGTCTAAAAAATTAATAAATATTAATTAAAATTATTTCAAATTATAAATTATATATTTTTAAATAAAGTGCTCTATGAAAAAAGCCTATGCAAATTTTGATTATAGGTTTACTATTCTGCAGGTATCTATGAAAAAAGTAAAGGGGTCAGGTTTGGTTTAGAAGGTATCTATTGAAATCAAGCTTGATTATAGGTTTAAAGAAGACAACAAACTGATCATGTACAAGATAGAGTGCTAGTTATTTTTATTTTTTTTTAGAAAAAGATAAAGTTATAGTTGTATGTTGGATTTATTTTGTTGTATATTCCTTTTCAGTTTCGTTCAAAAAAAATTTGTTATAAATTCTATATTTTTACAAAAAAAAAAAAAAAATGAACAAGATAAAGTGGCCTGCATGAATGGTCCATGGTAGGAACACTAGAATTGACAGACTAACCTCTAAATATATGTATGGTCTCAACTCTCACCGATACACAAAGTTGGATTCTTTCCCACTATCGTTAGAAATTGGAGTAGTTGGTTGATATGGTAGAAATACAAAATGACAAAGATCGCCTGACAACATTGGATTGAAAAAGCAAATTCTGAAACTGTAGATAACAGACACTATTCACTCCACTCCTTCATGAATATATAATTAACATATAATTAACGTGAATTGATTTTTCACTCCTATCTTTTATTATTATCTTACTAATTATTAATTTATTAAAATTTGTGGTACCTCACTAATTATTAATTTATTAAAATTTGTGGTACCTCTAGTTAATTGTAAACGCTAATACTTCATCCAACCGTTCAAAAATGTGTCTTATACAATTTAATGAGCGAAAAAATTAACACTCCATGATTTTTTTTCCTGAATAGGGTATAATTTACAAGTATAATTTAAGCACATATCAATTAGTTAACAAATCAAAACAATTAATCATAAATTACAAAACAGTTAGCATTTAAGACTAACTTTAACTCAATTAACAATTTCAATCTCTAAAAAGTACGAAAGGAGAATAATAACATGCTATAGAGTAGAAGAAAGCATATGTCATGAGATTTATTTAATTTTTGGGATAATAATTTTCATTTGGCAATCTTATAAAAAATTAATATTTTATTATCACAAAAGTATTATAAACTACCGATGTAAGAGAATGTACAACATAAACTATAGAATGCATTACTATGAGCATGCATAGGTAAACTAGACTATCAATTGATAGTTGTAGCAGATGATTACTCTTTGTACTTTTTTTTTAACAATGAGAAATTTTTTCGGGGCAAAGGAAAAGAGAATTTGAGATTAGAATCCAAGTTTTAATACTTCTAATTACGTCTTGAAAAGAAGGGTCAATAAACTTCGAAGTGCTAAACTGAGTACTCTTTATACTCAATATCAATAAAATTATTGTTAAAAAAAAAAGTCATAGAAATGTAGAAGAGTTCTTGATTTTAAAATTTATTCTTAATTAAAATTGCAAAATAACTAAATCTTATTGGATTTGAAACTTTTCATTCCCCATCCCCCAAAAGCCAAAATCAATTGAATTTAACCTCCGAAAATAAATTCAAAATTATCCATCCATAAAATTTCCTCCTTTCCCCTTGAAGTGCCAGTGCTACCTCCTAAATCTCTGATTATCTTCTTTTAGTTTACTTATTCCCAAAAATTATGACAGCCACTAATTAATCTTCTCTTGCGAATAAAATAATTATTTCATCCAACTATTGTTGTCCATTTTGTTATCTAAAAAACAAATAAAAAGTCCAATATGCAAATTTCAGTCTAGTATTAATAGGAGCAAATAACTAG